CCCCAAAACCCCAAAACCCCAAAACCCCAAAACCCCTCTCTGTAATTTAATAACTTTTTGGCAAAAATATTAGCAGAAAATGCCAAATTTGGTCAACGGATCTATCAAATGCTCCACAAAAATTCGGGATTAAGTGGTTTGAAGCTTATTCTTAGAAAAATAAGGCAAATCCTTGTAAAATTTGAATTAAAAATTCTGGTTATTTCTAATTGCTTTCTTTGATCTTAAGTCTCTTTCTCAAATCATCATCAATCAAATTCTTGAGCATGATTTGATGGTTGAACTTGAGCTCACCAATAGACTGGTGAGCGAGGATAGCACTATTGATGCTAGAAATAGATTGCTGGAGTTCCTTAAACCCCTTCTGCTTCTGCAGCAAGTCTTTGTAACTATCTCTCTCGGATCTTAGTCTATTGATGACTCCCTTTAGCTGAGCCTCTGATTTCAGCAGAGAAGCAATATTCTTCTCGAAAATACCAACCTTTGATTGCAGCTGACTATAAGAAGTTCTCAGCAGACTTTTCCCCGAAAGAGCTGGAGAGGTATCCTCCATTGACTCTGTATGCATGATATAATCTGTATCTAGCAGCATTTCGCCTAATCCTGTCAGATGAGGATTTGAAGAAAATACAAAGTTCTTATCCTCAGGTACGGAAGTATTTCCTGTCATATTCACAGAAATAGAAGTATTCACAATGGAATTATCCTTGCCTGTGATAGTCGATAGATCTCTCAGCCCATCGTTTTCCATATTCTTATGATTTTGGAACTCACAATAGAGGTTGTCTAGCTTCACCTTAAGATCCCTCAAATTGTCCTTAGCTTGATGGTTCGTGATCATCTTCGTATTCTCAGCAATAATCTTCTGGTACTCTTCGACGTTAAAGTTGAGGATCCCACAACTATAATCACTGTGCATCTTCTTGATTATTTCAAGTACATTTGATTTCTTTAAATTCTGGTTGTAGACAAGCTTTTGTTCGAAATCTTTCAGAAAATTTATCAAAAAGAACGACATCTTGTTCGACTCAGTGAGTAAATTAGTACTCTCTTGTAGCTGGTGATAGACAGAATCCATCTCACTCATTCTTTCAAGGAGTTTCTCTCCTTCTATACAGTCGTAGGCCTCGTATAATTGTTGAGATTTTATCATTAGCATATCAAGTCGAGCCCCAACAGAGCTCTGTTTATCAACCTGACTGTATTTTGCACTTGGCTTCCTTGAAATAGACTTATTTTAGCTTAGTATTGAACTTCATTTTCTTGCTTTTTATGTATCTGTTAATCCTCTCCTCCTCTTTAGAAGCCTCTCTCTTGGTCGATTTCCAAGCCATTCCTGGAGAATTCATCCTATTATCTGCTGTATTGTACAAATTAGATCCTCTCACTGAAGAATTCATCAAAAGACCAGGATTAGGTTTTGACTTCTTTGCTGTATTTTTCTTTCAACCTACAGCCTTAACAAAACTAATTTACTTATCTCCTTGCCTTGTTGCTTACTTAAGATTTGAAAATTAGATCTCTTAGGGCTAGGACCCTTATTTTCCTTTAATTTCTGACCTTCTATCCCAAAATAAGCATAAAAATGGGCAAAAGGGCTTACTTTCACCATGGCCACCAATAATATTCTTATAAATATTCCTGACAATAGAGCCTTCACTCGAGATCTCTGATGCCTCATTCACGAGGTTAACTTCAACTTGCTTCTGGAAGTTCATCATTCCTAGCTTGTTGTTTTTCCTCTTGTTGCTCTAAATGAATAAGTTGTTGACAAGTACCTTTTTCCTGTTCAAGTCCTTTTGCTTGTTCTTATGCTAAATTTTAGAGATGATTCTTACAAGATTAGTTGGTAGTTTGCACTCGCTCCTGTTGTGCCAGTTCACCTTGTTATAATTGAAGTTTGACTTCTCCTTCAAGCTCTCAACAGAGAATTCCTAGAGGATCAGTGGTGGGATGGTTTGTAGAAGAGAAATCCATAGTTGAAAAATGGGTGCAAAACTTACTTTCTGATCCCTCTTGGTTGAAGTTGCTCTCTTCTCTGGTCTACAGCTTAGATATTCTAAATATTTTCCAAAACAAGCTTTGCTGCCACTTTTTCCTACATCAGAAGAGTTAGTAATTAGAGTAGAGAAAGAGAGAGTTTTAAGATGGAATTACCTAAGCCATTGTTGATCTGCTTGAGAATCCTCTCGGTCGGAGATTGATCAACAGTGCATGAGAAATTTAACTGCTCCTGTCTGCTGAAAGATCTCTCTATCTTAGCAAATTTCTTTGCGCTCTTAGTGCTCTCAACTGTTGCCAGCTTAATATTGCTCCGGCTGAGCCCGATAGTCTTCTTAGACTTAGCTCTAGAAATAGAGTTTTTCATTAAGACATAATTAACTCTGTTTTCAGCGTTGTTCAAGCAATCTGGAGGTGAGACTGGAGATAGCCATTCTTCACCAATATCTCCATCTGCTATATTAAAAGGGTTAGTAAGGGGCTTTATTTGGATAATTCAAGGAGCTTTACCTTGGCATTCAATCAATTGGCAGCTTGTATTTTTCTCCATTTTATTTTTAATCATATTTTATCTAACCACCAAACAGCATTTATCGGTTCGTTAGCATAAATTGGGGTTTTGGGGTTTTGGGGTTTTGGGGTTTTGGGGTTTTGGGG